TTATGAAAATGAAGTTATAGTATTTTAATAAATTATTTAACAGATAATAAGATCGTAAAGAGATTATCAACAGATCAACAGATGGTTCACACATATAAATGGCTAATATAAATAGCTTATAATAAGTTATATTCAAATAGTTTAGTCGTCAGAATAAATTAGCAAACATAATATAATAGGCTATATATTGTTCTGCAATACAGGCATTAATTATTCCGATTCTGTGTTCACTTGTCTATGGAAACCAGTGCTCCATCTGTGGTGCCATCAATCCATTCAAAGATTTTAATTATAAACTTATTCTTAATTTTAAATTTCATACATTTGATGATTGATTTCGAGTCACTACTCCACCAATAGAAATGAATTTATTCTGTAATTATATTCTAACTTTAAAATGTACCTATAAACTGTAAATTAGTTTATGGCACAATTATAAGTTCCTACAAAAACTAAACATAAGTGACCTGAGATTCTGCAACAATTATTAGATAGAATTGATTGTAAATTTTCAATCAAATTAATAGCACTAACATTATTTAACAAGATATGCAATGCAATGTTTTCAGTGTTAATAATGCTTATAAAAAATAGTTTAAAAGTTGTTTTAAATACATATTTTAGATGCAAATATAGTATGTATACCGGTAATATATTTATAGTTTTAATTTGAATCACATAATTCATAATAAATTGTAACTAATTAAATTAAAATTAATTTCAAAACTCATTGAGTAAAACTTGTGTTACATTACAAATACAGTATATAATAACTTATTTTGTTATTTTATACAGTAGAATTATTTAAAGTCTAATGTGAGTTGACTTCATACTACAGTAATGAAAGTTTATGATAATGAAATAACATTGAATGATGTGATTTTATCAAATTTAGACAAACACTCAATAATCATTTAGAAATGAATAGTTCCCAATAACTGAATTGTTTGTACAAGTTTATTTCGATAATTCGATAACCAATACAACTACAAAACTTGCGATAAGAGTATTAATTCATATTTTGATCACTCATTGATAATATGCCTGCTGATTAATTAATGGGAAGTGTATTTAAAAAGTATGAAAGTAAAATTAAAATTTACAAATCATTAGATAATTAAATTGGAAATTGAAAGAAAAGTTGGAAAACTTGAATAAGTTTGTGGCAAAAGTGAATCAATGTATTTGTGTGATAGGGTTGGTGTAAGTGTAGTACAATACAAGTAGTGGTAGTATTATAGTAGTGAGCGATTGGTCGCATTGAATGCCATTTATTGTGACGTTTTTCAAATGTATGGCAAAGAAAGGAGTGGTTTATGGCTACTCTCAGCCCTCACTATCGCATACAGTGTCGGCGTTTGGCACAAATCACTCAACACATGGTGAGTGAGCAGTGATGCAGTGGGTGTGCAGTAGTGGTGCTGCGACTGTGGGCCCAACTGTAGCCCTGCATTGAGTTGTGTTCAGCCATACTATCAACAAAAGGACAGCCATTGCGGCCATTGCTGTGATCGCAGCCATCATTTGCAGTGGGTGTGCAGTAGTGGTGCTGCGACTGTGGGCCCAACTGTAGCCCTGCATTGAGTTGTGTTCAGCCATACTATCAACAAAAGGACAGCCATTGCGGCCATTGCTGTGATCGCAGCCATCATTGTTTGCTTCGCCATAATTGACAACACATTGACTGACATTAATGGCCGACACTGACGACCAGATAGTGGAAGTGCAAGAAGTGGAGATCGAAGCCATTCCGGTGCACATCAAACACGAGGACGACTCTGATGACGACCACTCAGGTATCACCCATTGCTTCCATGACACCCATCACTACACCGTCCATACAGACAGACTTCTTCGCCACAAACTTTGCGTTCATTGATAGCTGTGTAGTGTTAGTGTCCGGTGTTGTGGTCGTACGGCCGAGCGAGTGACCATCGCTGGTGGCCATCGCTTGCCATTCACTGTGAACCACAACTATTGTCTCTTTTCATGAAGTTTTCCACTTTTTTCGCTAAATTTGTTTTGTTTTTTAAACTTTTCTTCAGTTTTCTGTAGTTTTGCATTCAATTCACCGTTTGTTTCATTCATTCAGTAATCACTTTGTTTTCTCATTTCTTTCAACGCAGATATGCTTTTTATGTTTGTTTTTATGTGCTATTCATTTGTAGATAATGTTTAGTCAACTTTTAATTCAATAATCAGTGTTTTCATGAGTTTTTTAGTGGCAATTTGGGACTCTATTTGGGGTTTCCGTACAACTTGAATGCAATGCAATTCAATCACTGATTGCATTCAAATAACATATGTTTTTGTATTTTTAATTAATTGCAAGAATAGAGTGATATTTGAGAAGTTTTCGGTGTTTTATAATTGAATGAGAGATGATTGCAAAGAGTGTCTCAATTAATACCAATTGAGACCCATATCTGTCTATAGATAACACTATCAATAAGTCATTTAGATTTGTCAACACTTATGAATAAGTAGTGAAAAATGTCTTATTTATCCGATGTCTTCATATCAGATGATCGGAGTCGTCAGATGGTTGCCCTCCAACCCGATGACCACCACTTCGTCCATCACTGGAATGATGAGGACGACGAGCACAACGACGTCTCAGTGTTTCCCTCGAGTGCTCCGGAAATCATGATCGAGACGACGCCCACCACTACGAAGAAGAGAAGAGCAGGTCTCACATCCATTGCTTCCTTCCGTCCATTACTCTCGTATTCATTGATTGTATTTCTCGTCTGACGACAGCCTCTTCTCTCACTTCGGGCACAAAACGGGGTAACAAAAGGTCGGCCCAAAGCGGCACAACACTACTCCAGTCCTCACAACAGAGGTCTGGCGGCTCTTCCAATCGGAAATGGGAACAAAAACAGGTGCAGATCAAGACATTGGAGGGCGAGTTCAGTGTCACGATGTGGGCCACGGGAACCGATGAGGGTATGGCTTAAGCATTAAGTGATGGCTTTGTCATCATTTGAGTTGTGTTTGTATTGCAGAAGAAATAGTGACCGCAAATATGGACGACGACTTGTCCTCCTCTTCACACTCACAGCTAAATATCAATGAATACGTGACGGGAATTAAGAAGATTCCGCGCGAAGGCATCCCCGGCGTCGACCTCTCAGACCCCAAACAATTGGCCGAATTCGCCAAGTATTCAAACTTTCACTTCACTCTTGAAGTTGTGTTTAAATGATTTTATTTTTGACGCAAAGAATGAAACCAAGGAAACAGTCTCTGGAAGACGAATCCCGAACCATCGCATGTCCTCATAAAGGTATGTCATTTGGTGCTGTATTTGAGACATTCCTTACCTCACGAACTGTTTGTTTATCGGAAAGGGTGTTCCAAAATGTTCAGAGACAACAGTGCAATGCGGAAACACCTGCACACTCACGGACCCCGAGTGCATGTGTGCGCCGAATGCGGCAAAGCTTTTGTTGAGTCGAGTAAATTAAAAAGACATCAATTAGTACATACCGGCGAAAAACCTTTTCAGGTGATACACCACCGCCTCAACCACTGGCTTAGTGTTGGGCTAATCACTAATGAGTACTAACTTCTGACCATTGATTTAGTGTACGTTCGAAGGATGCGGTAAAAGATTTTCGTTAGACTTCAATCTGCGAACACATGTCCGCATACATACGGGTAAGCATTGAATGGTGTAGTGGTGGTAATGTGTTGTGTAATGTATTGTGTAATTAATGTATGGTGTGTTAGGCGACCGGCCCTACGTGTGTCCCTTTGACGGGTGTTCCAAGAAGTTCGCGCAGTCAACAAATCTCAAGTCCCATATCCTGACGCACGCGAAAGCAAAAGCCAATCAACAGCAGAGAATCACCACAATGGAGATCCCGATATCATCCCCTTCTGGCACGCCATCCAATATACCAGACGTCGGCACCGAATGCTTCGTCATCGCCACCACCGATGACGGCATTGTCCTCCAGTAGACCTGTTGTCAAAATCATTGATTCTTTTAAATTTAATACTATTTAATAATAATTATAATAAAATTTCAATATTTGACTATTTTATCATTGGATATGAAATATTATTTTGTAAAAAGTTTTATTTAATTCTTAAAAAATTGATGTATTTATCGATAAGTTATTACAAAACAAAAGCAATGATTAATAAGTAATTCTGTATAATATAATGATTGTAACACTTTTAGACCTTTCATTTCATTCGTTTTCATCGATAACTGAATTAAATTGATTTCATTTCATACCGTAATTCCATTTATTCATTTGATTTGAATAAATAGTTTCCTAAATAAAAACAAATCTAAAACATTTTTATAAACCATTGTTTTGTGACAAATTAAACAATCGTTTAATTGAAACATACTGTAAGTGTTTGAAAAGCATTAAATTTAAATAAACATTTATTTGTTATAAGAAAAATA